TGTGTATGTATAGATGGACGGATGGATGCATTAATGTGATGCCGCATGTATGTATGTGCACATGCATTTGTACGTTTGTCGGTTTGTGTACATGTATCACAGTCTTTGTCTGTGCACGCATGTAGGAACGTATGTCTGCAAACATGCATGTATGAATGTATGCATGTATGTACGTATGTATGTATGTATGTATGTATGTATGTATGTAGGTGCCTACATACGTACGTATGTATGCATCTAGGCAGGCAGGCAGGCAGGCAGGTAGGTAGGTGGGTGGGTAAGTGTTGGTTGTATGCATGTATGTGCTTTAATTATGCTTGTTTGTAATTGTGCCTGTATCTTCGTAGGTATGTATGTGGCAAACGCTTGTATGTATGTTTGCACATTGCAGTGTTGTGTATTACTGCATGTAGATATGTATGCATATGTGTATGTATGCATGCAGGCATGCTTGTATTTGCATGTTCGTAAGCAAGCAAGCAAGCAAGCTAGCAAGCAAGCCAGTATGCATGTATGCAGGTAGGTAAGCAGGTAGTTAGGTAAGTAGCGTCGGGCACGTAGGTCGGCAGGTAGCCAAATCGGTATAGTATGTGGGTATATAGGTACGTATGCATGTATGCATGAATGAATGAATGTATGTATGTATGTATGTATGTACGTATACGAACCCTAAACCCTAAACCCTGAACCCCAAGACCCAACAAACATGGGCCCAAGTCACTCTGACGAAAACCCGGATCTTCAGATGAGACCCCGATGGGCGGCAAATTCATATAGACCCCAAAGTCCCGAACCAACCAGCTTCGATCATAGCTCCAAGGCTTAACTTCGGTTTGGGGCTTGAAGATTTAGGCCTTAGGGTTTGTGGCTTAAGGGGTCTAGGGCTCGGCGGGTTGAGGGTATAGGTTGATTGATGTGTCAACTGTGTGTACGAATTCGGTTGGTCGCAGCTGAGAAGCAAAGACGTTCGCCAGTGTTTGAGCGAACTGTGGGAAGTGTGCTGTGACTCTTTTCGTATACTCTCTCGTCACAAACCGAAGCCTCTTGCCGGCTTGCTTTTTTTGGAGTCGCCATGACGTGATGCATTCTGCATTTTCCCAACTTGCTACTGACAAATGGCCTAAACACTTGATACTTGGAGTTTTGCCTGCCTTTCGAAGCTTATGACAACACTCTTCACACCAATTATTTCCAATACCTTTGGGGAACTAAAGGTTAACTTGTCGGATTCTATAGGGATGATAATATCTCCAAAAAGTGAAGGGTTACCTACTCATGAATACTGAGGGACAGTGCTGTCTTTAAAACGACGTATGCTAAGCCGTCATACACCCACACTTGGACTAAACCCTGAACCCTTGACGTTTAGTTAGTTAAACTCTTATACGCGGCCCTAACCCTCAAACTCCTTTCGTGCTTGCTCCCCGAGCACAGGGATTGATGCCAAGTTGCTGATGCCACTACTTTCGAGGAGCCGCGGCCCAGGTCGCGCCATCGCTTGTACTCTGCCTCCGGGTAAGATGACTGGCAGAGAGAATATCATATACCCCCAAACCCTATTCTAATTATTAAGGCCCCTATATTAAGATGACTGGCAGAGAGCTCAGGAACTACTTCGGGTTCAGTGTTCAACCCGGTGAAGCTTTCGCAGGTTCTGATTGACTGGGGTTCAACCTACTGTAGGGGCCTGAATAAATAGAATAGGGTTTTGGGCCCCTTAGTAAATTAACTTAATACTAGAACTATAATAAGGAACCCTTAGGAGTGATATTGGAAACTATTTAGGCTTCTACATTACAACTCTCCCAAAACTCCCTGCGAGCTTTCATGTTATGGCTGGAACGACTAAGCCACTTGACGGCCGTCCGAAAACGTGTGTCGATCTCATCCGACATGTCAATGCGACTATATGATCCTGTTGATTATATTGAATATTATGGGTTTAGGGCTTAGGCCTGTTGCGTTACAATCCCTGGAACCTATGCGGGGCCAAGGTACGTACTGTGTAGGTACATTCACCCCCCAATTCAACTCAGTTCGTAACCACAAGAGCCTAGAGACCAAGTCTATTTTTTATGTCACCTCCATCATGATATGGTCCCGAAGAACCCACCAGTAAGCACCCTTAGTTGCTACCCTAAACCCTAAACCCTAAACCCTTAGTAAAGAAGGGACCCCGAGTTTGATCAGAAGTCCTTAGCATGGTACGGCAAGGCGGCCTCCGCATCGCACTTGTCGATGCCTCCTAAGACGAATTCTTCCTCCTTCGGATTCTTTGGGGTATGGGCCTGAGGTTCAGGGCTTTTTATCGAACCTATAAGGGGGTTTATTGGGCTAAAAAGGCTTATAGATTATAGGGTTTATGGAGCTTGTAGGATTTATTTCGCGGCCCAGTACTCGGACATGTGCAACACTAAACCTCAAAGCCCAAACCCATAGCCATCCTAAACTTAAGGTCACCCCGACCACACGCCCCAGGTCACGAAGGAGCTTCGAATTGAGGGCTCGTTTAATTAGGGCCAACCGGCATGGCAAAATCCTCAGTGGGGGTCAACCCTAACCGAAAAAAACTCAGCTACTGAACCCTAAAAACCCCTAAAACCCAAACCGTTGGCCCTAACCAAAAAAAGACTCACCTCTCCAAACCGCCAAGCCCTGAACCCTGCAACCCTCGACCCAAAACTCCCAAACCCCAAACCCTGAGACCCTGAACCTAAAGGGTCCATGTACCCGAATAGTAGACACTTTGGCCTTAGAGTAGTAGGGTTTAGGGTTTCGGGTCTAGGGTTTACGGGTCCCTATTTGGGTACTTTGAAGCCAAAGTATCTACTCTCTGGGTACATGGACCCTTACGGGAACACCTTCATGAACCCTGAGACCTTGCTTGGTTCAGTTTCGACCCCAGCCCCTGAAACCCCAAACCCTAGAATCCGAAACACCCTCACGAACCCTAAACCCTAAACCCTAAACCCCAAGACCCCTAAACCCCTAAACCCTAAACCCTACACCCCCGAGACCTTCATCTTTTGCCCCTCAACCCTGAGCCCTTCAGCCCAAAACCCAAAACCACGGACCCACAACGCCTAACGTAGAAGCCTTAATAATTAGAATAGGGTTTGGGGGTACATCATTCTATAAGTACGGCTGATGGTATAAATCCTGCATTATCCATAAAAAGAAATATACCATAATTCCATAGTTGAGGGTCCTTAAGGTAATGCAGGATTTTTATCATCAACAGTACAATAAGGAACTTCCAAAACAGTATTCGTCTTTATTTAGACCTCTGATACTAAAGACACAAAATGCAGAGTCGCTCCGGAAGCCGGGGACCCCGTGGAGTAAGCTCGCCAAAGCGCGTCTCCTTTCCGCTTTGCGCTCGGGAGCTTACTACTGAACATCGGGTCCTTACTGATTCGAAGAGGGTTTCGGATATTCCATGGTAAGTAGTATGTCCAGATATAGATATAGATACATATATATATATATATATATAGAGACTACCAGGGGATACTATTGCTAATTCTACCAGCTATAGTCGGATTTGGAGGTGAGGGCCTTGCAGTATCTTGCATTCAGCTCTCTCAAACCTCAAGCCGGGCTAAAGTTGTTGGGGTTTGCCATATGTCAACCCAAGCCCGCAAACCAAAGGCCAAGTCATCGGTTTAGGGTTTAGGGTTTAGGGTTTGCCCGCAAACCAAAGGCCAAGTCATCGGTTTAGGGTTTAGGGTTTAGGGCTTAGGGTTTAGGATTTAGGGTGCTAAACCCGAAGGAAACAGTACTGCTTGAGGCAACGAACAATCCAAAGTGGTTAAAACTTGAGCGACACATCTGGAGGAGCAGGCGGTTCAAGTAGGGCCAACATGCACAGCTCGTACAAACCCGGTTTAATTTGATATAGTTCAAGATATACCCGCTTCAAAAACCCATCACATGCATCCTGTACCCTATAGACACTCCAAAAAACAACGGCTCCTGACTCTTTTTCGAACCGGGCCACTGACTAAGTCCTCTGACCCTCCAACCTCCTGTCCCAGACCCGTGCACCCATTAGTGTAGGGACCTTAACTTATTAGTCAGAATAAGGTTGTTTAGGGTTTAGGGTTTAGGGCTTAGGGTTTAGGGTTTAGAGTTTAGGGCTTAGTCAGAATAAGGTTATTGGTGGGAAACCAGCCACTCATGAATATAGAGTTGGTAATTACTCAAGCCCCTAGACTACCCTGCATAAGCATTCCATAGTCCTTGTTCTCTTCCTGGGTCTTGGAGGCCAAAAACCCGCCCCTCAACCCTAAACCCACAACCCAAAAAGCGATGCCAAAACCCCAACCCTAAATTAAACCCTAAACCCTAAACTCTCCTAAACCCTAAATTTAACCCTAAATTAAACCCTAAACCCTAAACCCTAAACCCTACTAAACCCTAAGCGGTCGACAAATCTACAGCCTTGGAAACTGTCAGCTCCCCAGGCAAAACCACCGAGCGAGCAGCCTCGTTGGGATTTAGGGCTTAGGGTGTAGGGCTCGGGGTTTAGGGTTTAGGGTTTAGGGTTTAGGGTTTAGGGTTTGGGGTTTAGGGTTTACGGTTTAGAGTTTACGGTTTAGG